CTGATCGACCCGTTTCATCATTTGTATTACTATTTGTTAAAGCATTGTTGTTAACAATGCATTACTATTTGCTAGAGCAAGGTTTTTAACAATGCATTACTATTTATTAGAGCAGGGTTGTTATCAGTACATTACTATTTGTTAGAGCAGGGCTGTTTAAAATGCATTACTATTTGCTTGAGTAAGGCTGCAAACAATGCATTACCATTTGCTAGAGATGGGTTGTTAACAATGCATTACTATTTGCTAGAACAGGGCTGTAAACAATGCATTACTATTTGCTAGAACGAGGTTGTTAACAGCGCATTACTATTTGTTAGAGCAAGGCTGGTTAAAATGCATTTCTATTTGCTAAAACGGGGTTGTTAACAGCGCATTACTATTTGTTAGAGCAGAGTTGTTAACAATGCATTACTATTTGCTAGAACGATGTTGTTAACAGCGCATTACTATTTGTTAGAGCAGGGCTGTTTAAAATGCATTACTATTTGCTAGAACGAGGTTGTTAACAGCGCATTACTATTTGCAAAGTTGCACTTCCTTCTTTGAAACCTCTCATACAAATTAGTTTTTTCTCGTCTATTTAATATCTTGAGTTTCTCAAAATTATCAGAGAAGAACCAGAAAATTGCAAGTAAAATATTGCTGAATTGCGTAATGACTGCCATTGCTCAGATTCATATCTAATGCGCGCGTGCAATTCTTGTCTGCGTGTAGTTAATCCTAGATTAGGACTTAGCATTCAGTCAGACATCTTCTCGCTGACATTGAATTACTTATCTTGTTTTCGGGCTGGGCGTGGCCGAGTAGTTAGTGCGCCCAGATTGTGAATCCGTGAATTCAAAGTTCGCTTCCCGTTGCCGCAAAAGTGCGCTTCGCACTTTGGGGCCATGGTTTCGCTATAGCCCCAATATTCTGTCAGATGAGTATCACAAAAGTTGGCGATGGCTACTGTTGACCTATTGCCTTCCCTCTAGTCTACCAATTCAAAATTATTGATGGCTTTGCGCAGAAATGCTTAATAAAACGTTCATTTTGACAGCAGAATAAAAAATTCGTAAACAAGATATCGCAGAATTGCGCAGTGACTGCTGTCTTTCGTCTTCATATCTAATTCACCTGTGCGTATATACAAGTATTCACCTACGTATAACTGATCTTAGATCATGACTTACCATTCATACACACATGTTGTCACTGAAATAGAATTATTTATTCTGCTGAAAGCAAAAACATTTGTTTAGATTTCTACTATTATAACGATTTTAAAACTCAGCGCCACTAATGTGCTAGATGAAACATTTTGTGAAACTTGCGTGTTACTAGTTGCCTGGATAAAACTTCACTTGATGTGTTGTGTTGCGTTTGTTGAATTTCGTGCAAAGCTACTCGAGGGCTATCTACATTAGCTATCCCTAATTTTGAAGTGATAAACTGGAGGGAAGGCAAGTTAGTCAACTCTTGGGCTACCTTTTTATCAACGAAAAGTAGGTTTGATCAGCTCATTATAACGCCCCCACGGCTGGTGTGTGTGAGTCGAGCCCCCTAACCACCAGACCATGCCAGGTCGCGTTACTTGGAAATTATCTCTAGTAGTGAGCCTAACGAAATGTTTCTCGAAAAAAGAAATGTCACTAGTAGCCTGAACAAAACATTACCCAGAAATTAAGAACCACAAATGTCACTAGTAGTAGCGTAAACAAAAATTACCTAGAAATTAAGAACCACAAATGTCACTAGTAGTAGCGTAAACAAAACATTACCTGGGAATTAAGAACCACAAATGTTACTAGTAGTAACTTGAACAAAAAATTACCTGGGAATTAAGAACCACAAATGTCACTAGTATTAGCGTAAAC